CAAACAGACATAACATATTCCCAAAGCTTCAGGATGCGAGGAACAGTATACTCAAGGATCAAATTGAGCATTTTATTGATTTAATGACCCGAAAAAAAGAAAAAATAGAAATGGAAAAATTTGCTTATTTGAAAGAAAAAATCAAAAAGTTGCTTTAGTTTTGACAAAGCAAAAATTGGGTCAATTTCATTATCCATAGAATATTTTTTATTTCAAAATAAATCTTGCGTGTATATTATTTGATTTTTAAAAGTGAATAAATTACCTATTTATTTAAAGAAATACTTTCACTATAACTTTATTCTTAACCCTTTGAACACCGACATTTTTTCCGTAATCATAGAACGACTTTCTGTGTACAGATTAAATGCAACTGTCATAAATAGAATATTAATAAAAAAAATTTGACTTCGCTACACCCTTGCATTCCGTTCCAGTATCAAGAGATCCAAATGCAATATCGATGTGAAAATCTTTTAAATTTCTCTATTTTCATTTCTATAAGAATCATAAATAATTTTTAGGGTACAATTCGTATAATTGGAATACGAAGCGATTTAAATAATTTGGACTGTACACACAAATTTGTACTGTATACATTTTAGCTTTCTTCTATATCTGGAAAATACATGACCACAAATTTAAATTTTTTAGAATTTTGTCCCTCATAAACGGGCCTTTACCTATGTAATCCAAAAAAATTAACATTTGCCAGCTACGAAAGAAATATAAGCTCTAAAATATTTTGTTGCCTGTAGGCCACAAAGGGTTAAAAATGTTACAAAACATTTATTCAGTTTGCAATTTCAGTTTAGTTTTGGCCACCAGTGTAACACTAGAGCATGCATGACATACCACATAAAGCATAGGAACTTGTTTCTTAAAATGGTTCAGATTTATATATAGCAATAATATATATGGGCCTGCAAAATACTAGAACAAATTAATGTAGACACAGCTTCAATGGAAGTCAATCTTCAACGTCAATATTTTACATAGTTTGCAAATACAGACCTGAAACTATTCAAAGTTGCTAACATACTATAAAAATTATGGAATTAAAAAGGACTGAACTTCGTATTCGTACAAAATATGTACGAACTAGAAGGGTAATAAAAGTAATAATATATACCAAATACTGTACCCTTTGTATTGAAATTTGGAATGTGGGTCACTGATAAAAAGTTAGAAAGATGCAAAGTACTTATTGGTACGAAAAGTACTAAATGGTACTAAAATTGGTACAATTTGGATGTTGGCGAACGAATAAGGCTGGAGTCCTTAAATGTGGATTTAATATTATTATTGGAGCGCATTACTGTTGTAGTTTTTGAAATTAGTACTTATGGGAACGAAAAGTACAATATTTGTTACAATTTGGGCTTTGGTGCACGGGTAGAACTGGCATCCTGAAACCTGCAAATAAGATTACTGTTGGAATGTAATATTGAGATAGTTTTGGGATATGGGTAAAGTACAGAATGATACCAAATCTGGTGGACAGATAGAGCTGAAATTCTTAAATTCGGATTTGCGATTACTATTTGAAAGCAGAATTGTTGTAGTTTGGGAAATTCGTACTTATGAGTACTAAATGGTAATAAATTTTATATTAGATGTAGGAGTAGAGGTGGAATTCGAAATTACATCACAACAAATTATACATTATTATTTATTTGTTTTCTTCGAAACGACGAATGGCTACCACCCTCCATTTTTGACTACTATTGAAGAATACGATATGGATAACAAGTGGTTTCAACAAGACAGTGCCACGTACCACACAACTCGAGCTAATCTCGTGGATTTTATGAAAAATTGTGAGCATTGCGATTATAAAACTCATTAACATTAATATTATTTGACAAATTTAAACATATCCCTACTTTATATTCCGTTTAGAAGATTGTTTTATCCAGTCTTATAAGTCGTTGAAAAATTAAATTTACATTAAAGTTAGACATAAACATTATGGAGCAAAGTTAGGCAGCCATGCACACCAGCGTCGATGCGTTCACTTTACATTTTTTGTTGTTAAAACTAAAATAAACATTAACGAAGATTTTTCTCTAATTTTTGTAATGAAGTAGTTTTTTATAATTCCTTGAATATTATCTATGTTTTAAATATTTTAATATTTAAATTGCTCAAAATAATTATTGTTTTTATATTCATTTAACAGAAATTTTTAAGAGAAATTTTGGCCCCCATTGTTATGGGGATACCATATCCATAGATCATTTACTAAAAAAATTGCATATTTTCCGGCTGTATGATGTTATAAATACGTAATACTAGACTAGATACTTTCGATATCTAGTATTGCTCGTATGCACAACATATCAGGTATTTATTTATTGCAAACTTCATGTGTCTTATTTTATAAATATTATCAAATCAATTTAATTGCTGACAATTTTATTATACTACAATTTCCTTTTGTACGTGAGAAACTTTTAGAGTAGAGACATGTCGTCCAACCTCAAAAGAAAATTTAAAATTGTTGGCTTTAGACGAAACAAATGCTTATTCTAATGAAAATGTTTTGACTAAAGAAAATGTACTGATCACGTAGAGTAAAAAGTAATTCATGATATTTTAAATAAGTATTAAATAAATAATAAATATACAGAAAATCAATTATAAAATCAATGAAAAATGTGCAAATCGAACTTTTCATTTATGACACTTAAATGTATACATGTCTTTTACTATAGCACATTTTACACTTACATATGTATGTGTATGTAGGTATGTTTGCATATCTGTTTGTCAAATATCAACATTTCCAAAGCACATAAATGGAAAATAGTTATGCATAGCAGAGTATCGGAATATTCAATAGAGACCCTTCTTCTCAATGAATGTGTGAGTAATGACAAAAACTCCCCCAACATGGGAATGCATGCATGTTGTAGTCAAATTTGTTCGACAAACACAAAACACCGAAATCAACTAAAGATTCAACATTTATTGCCAAGTCCTTTGAACTTTATTGAAATGATAGAACTGACTCAAGTGTCAAGGATAAAAAAATATTTTTACATTTCACTTACATTTGAAATTGATGTTGGGGGGAAATTGAATTACAAGTTGTTTGGAAAATTCCAATTTAACAACGAATTCGAATTAGGAAATGTTGAAATAGAAGGAAACACATAATTAAATTTGAGATACATTGTTCAATTTAAATTAGTTGTGATACAAATTGATTAGAACAATAAAAATACAAATTTTGAACCTTAAATTTTATTTACTACACAAAAGGTATTTTTGTTTAATATGTATTTACTGAGATTTGAAATATTAAACTAAAGAAAAACATATTCTACAATTTACTTACATACGTGTGTTCATAGTTTGTATGTACAATAGGGTTGTGACGTTTTTGCAACCTCGTATCCATATGAATAGATACAATTTTAATGATTAGCTGATTCTTTAACCCTACGGTCAATAACCAAAAAAGTATACGTAGATCAATAACCGTGGTACATTTGTACCCATCCAAAGATAGCTCTGTAACTCGTTAAAAAATTGGACTATCGTGAGGTTTTTTGTTTTAAATTAGTCTATACGGATCTGATCTAGATGTAGGAACTCAAAATTATATATACATTAAAATAATATATACTTAAATCCATGCTTAAATGATAATCTATCTAAAACAATCATAGTAAAATCGTTTTAGCTTTCGAATGGGTTAAGCTTTTTTAGTTATTTTTTTATTGGGATCTTATTTAGGTGTTCCTCAACCCCTCTGCATTTTGTTGCCCTAGACAACATGGGGCCATCAGGGCGACTCGTGGAAATTAGAAACTATCTTGGTTTTCCCTTGGTATACAGGGACTAAAACAATTATTATTGCCAATTATTCATATTTTATGAGTTTAGAGATTTTGAACATTATTTTATACTTTAAAACGTTATTTAATGATAGTTTATATATGTACGTCAATCTAGGATTGTAATAAATCAGAATAATTCGATTATAGAAAAAGTTTCAGGCCCAATATGAAGAATAATTGGATAATTACGGACAATAATCATTGTAGTTTCTGACTTCCACGAGTCGCCCTGATGGCCCCATGTTGTCTAGGGCCACAAACATTTGCAGAGGGGCTGAGGAACACCTAAATAAAATCCCAATAAAAAATAACCAAAAAAGCTTAACCCATTCGAAAGCTATAACGAATTTACTAAGCGTGTCTTAGATAGATCATCATTTAAGCATGGATTTAAATATATATTATATTAATATATATGTAATTTTGAGTTCCTACATCTAGACCAGATCCGTATAGACTAATTTAAAATAAAAAACCTCACGATAGTCCAATTTTTTAATGAGTTACAGAGCTATCTTTGGATGGGTACAAATGTACCACGGTTATTGATCTACGTAGGTAATAACATTAAAAAATTGTAAAAATTATATATATGGAAAATATTTATAATTTTTTTCTTCGATTATACCTCAAGAATGATTCCTCAAAATTTGATCCAAATATCTCCATTATTAAAAGTTTTACAGCATTTTTATTCGAAAAAAGGTACAAATGTACCCGGTTATTGACCGTAGGATTAAAGAACCTTATGCGCAAAATCATTTGAAACTTTTTGAGCGCTATATAGGGGCTATACAAAAATATATTATGAGATGGGAAAGAATTGACTCGGAATACATTTACATACATATGGGTGGGTATATACTATAGACCATAGTGCAAGCCACGCTAATGTGAACGTCCAATGAATTCGTATTGACATACATACCTAAAAAAATTAAATATAGAAATATACATAAATGTAATTATAATAATAATTTTTATAACAAGTAGACAAAAATATAATGTATTGCAACCATAGTTTCCGTAGTATGAAATTAAAATGATATCGACCGAACTTGCTGCCTCGTGACATTGTAATATATTTCATATAAAACATATTTACTTACATAGATTTATATTTATTTTTATTTTTTTTTTTCATCTTTTCAGAAAATCTAAAGAATACATCTACAATTACGTAGACCGTGTCCGTTTCGCCGAGAGTTCATTCCCCGACTACAAATATCCTTCGCGTGGTTCTGGTTGGCGTCACAACAAATCCATATCTCATCTTGATTTAGCCACAAGCTGTCACAGTGCAGCTTCCGGTTTAAATCATTGGCCTTCCTCAGGATCGCATCAATCGTCCAGACACCAGTTGCGTCATTCACGATCGTTGGACTATAACCATATCGATCGCTGCAAAGACGCTCTGGATATTGCCGAATACTATTGGCGTCTCGATCACGAACCGGAAATATATGACGAAGAGGAGGAAATTGAGTTTGAACCGGAACATAAGGGTTCACAGTTGAAATACGTTAGTGAACATCATTATCGAGACTTCAAGTGTGGTAAGTTCGAAAAAAATCAAAACTAGTTCAAACAAAAGTGACAAATAAACAACAACAACGTTATTATTGTTTATATTGAATTTACAGCTGATGACAATTATCATCACTCTGCGAATAACATCTATCAAACGTCAACGCCACAACAGCAGCAGCAGCAGCAACAACAACAACAGCCGCCACCGCAAAAGTCGTCTAACAGCAGACAATCTAAGGCTGTGGTAACCGCCAACAGTGGCGTCGCCCTGCAGGCTTTAGAATTTGCCAGCGATTCGTGCAGTTTGCGTCGTTCGCGCAGTTTGGCTGTGATACGTGAGGAGACATTTAGCGACCTGCAAATTAGTTCTTCCAATGGCAGTCGACGTTCACAATTGATACCGCGTGCTCGTCTTGTCAATCGCGGCTATTTTCGGGAACGTGATAGGTAATTTGCTACAAATAGTTTATTTAATATGTATAAATTTATGTGCATATATGTTGTGTATTGACAAATGTTTGTATTAGAAAGTGATCAAACATATACATAGTTATTCATTTTTTTGAAGTATAACTGTAGGTTGAATTACTTTATGGATTGTAAAATAATTATTATCGAATAGTTACTAATGAACAGATTAACATAAAGGATTCCATAATGCCGTGTTTTTAGATCAGGCGAGATACACCACAGCGTCAAAAAAGATCCACTAAAAGGGCTCGCCACGTTTTGGAGATTGTTTTCTGTATGGCTTAATTAAATAACAATTAAACAGATGTATGTAATTGCTGCACAATTTAAATCATATCGTACCAAAATTTATATGAAAGCTATATCTAAATCTGAACCGATTTCCATAAAACTCTACAAAATTTATTCCACACACAGGTTGGTATTCAGTCTTACAAACTTTGGGCCTTCAGTGCACCAAATCAATCAATCAATTAGACGAAAATATATATTTGAAATTATGTCTTAATCTAAACCGATTTCAGTAGTGTTGGCGGTTTATTTGGGATACCATTTGTATTTTGTTTTTGCAAAATAGTCAGGCTGAATCCCAGTTTGTTGTTTTTATAAAAAACAACTATTTATAAATGTATGGCATTGTTTGCCGAGGGGTAAGGCAGGGAAGACTATAGTTTCGGATCACGCCACTGATCCTCATCAGTTCCCTTAGTTTTTTGTTGGGATATTCTCCCCAGAAGCTATTGCTTCTATACAAAAAACCGTTCATACCCAAATGTCTCTTGTAACAAAGCGAAGTACTTAGCTGACCAGCGACATAAACTGTATGAGAATTTCGCTGGAGCCTCACTTCGAGGTTAACAAGGCATTTACAAACAATTCCATACCTTTCCCACTGTTGTGTGTTGCCACATCGCGACAAATGCACACAACGACTTTGTTGGTGTTGCTAGTATACAGCAACAATCCAAACAGTTTAACCGTGCCTGCGTCTACATAAAATTTTTTTATAAAAAACAACAAACTGGAATTCAGTCTGACTATTTTGCAAAAACTGAACCGATTTCAATAAAAATTAACACTGCACAGTGGTCGATTTAGTATCTCTAAAGTAATAACATATAAATCCAAATACAAAGACTGACTATATCTATGAGAATTAGTGGACTGAATATGCAAAGAATCGGATCATTTTTTTCTAATGCCCCATGTAACTGAGCCACCAATTTACGGTAGTTTTAGGTTTTCTGCTAGTTTGGTATTCACACTGGTTACCAAATCCCAAATCTCAATGTCAAAAATTATTATCGTCAATAACTCAAATCGCGGTCACAAAAATTATATTTTTTCTCTTAATATTTCAGGTTTTCAACAAAAAAATTTTCTGTTATACGAATTTCTATTAACCGGGTTTTCTTCTAAGCGAAGTAAAGTGTTTGAAAACTCCAAATATTAGATATACCGGTTTTCGCTTATCCGAATTCGACTGTATTGGCACTTAAATAGAAATTTCCGTCAGGAAAGTGTCCGTAAGCGATGTAATGAAACAAAATTGCGTTAATTTTTTTTTTACTTTAGCTCCTGTAACTTTTTTAAAAATAACTTTATAGTGAATGTTTTTTTCAGAATAGGTAATGAATTCTATCATGGTGTCGGCCTCTGTAAACTACAGGACACACGTCTAACTGTACTGTGAATATTTATGCTAAAAATGTTCAAAATGTATCACATTGTGTAGCCACATTTTATCGGAAGTTTGTCTATTTTTTCTATATATATTTTTAAGATATATAAAACATAGAATATTTTCGGTCTATGATTTTAAAGTCGGCTTATAACGACGGTCAAGGGGGCGTCGAATTTAGTTGCTATAAACAATAGTCGTTAAATAAAGTGGAGCTTTTGATACCTTGATTACAACCGATATATCGTTATAAACAAATACGACTGTACATAAGTTCCGAATGTTTTAAAAAATTTATTGTCGGCTACCAAGCTAGAGTACTTCAGCAGTAACGACAGATTTCAATGATGGCATATACTAGATTACGATGATAAATGGTGACATGTATACTCCCATGTTCAAAAGATACAATTTTGATTGTTACAATTCGATAGCTTATGCTATAATTAGACCTCAGGTTCAATGTCAAGCTGACTAAACAATCCTACAAAACAATCGCACAGTTAATTTGTGTAGCATTAATGCTATTGTTTACTACTTTGTATTTTTATTGACGGATTTAGATTTATCGGTATCGGATTTCCATTTGTACATTCGTGATAGAATTTATAAAAAGGCTACTAGCAATTATGCTTCCATTACAATTTAATAGTAATGATTTTTTATCTGAAAGCTGAAGCAGCTAAGTGATTTAAAGTGCAATTTTAAAACAAATACTCGATGCGGCTACTAGCTACCGGTAGCAATTGTTTGGATTGCATCTCACTTAAACGCCAAGTACCAAATATGTATTGTTTAATTAAACTCTTAACCCTACGGTCAATAACCAAAAAAGTATACGTAGATCAATAACCGTGGTACATTTGTACCCATCCAAAGATAGCTCTGTAACTTATTAAAAAATTGGACTACCGTGAGTTTTTTTGTTTGAAATTAGTCTTTACATCTTCAAATAAAATTATATATACATTAAAATAATATATACTTAAATCCATGCTTAAATGATATATCTATCTAAAACAATCGTAGTAAATTCGGTATAGCTTTCGAATGGGTTAAGCTTTTTTAGTTATTTTTTTATTGGGATCTTATTTAGGTGTTCCTCAACCCCTCTGCAAATTTTTGTGGCCCTTGACAACATGGGGCCAACAGGGCGACTCGTGGAAATCAGAAACTACCTTGGTTTTCCTTTGGTATACATGGACTAAAACAATTATTATTGCCAATTATTCACATTTTATGAGTTTAGAGATTGTGATTGGCGCACTTTTAACATTATATAATACTTTAAAACGTTATTTAATGATAGTTTATATTTTTACGCCAATTTAGGATTGAAATAAATCAGACTAATTCGATTATAGAAACAGTTTAAGGCCCAATATGAAGAATAATTGGAAAATTACGGACAATAATCATTGTTTTTGTCCCTGTATACCAAGGGAAAACCAGGGTAGTTTATGATTTCCACGAGTCGCCCTGATGGTCCCATGTGGTCTAGGGCCACAAAAATTTGCAGAGGGGTTGAGGAACACCTAAATAAGATCCCAATAAAAAAAATAATAAAAAAGCTTAACCCATTCGAAAGCTATAAGGAATTTACTATGATTGTTTTAGATAGATTATCATTTAAGCATGGATTTAAATATATATTATTTTAATGTATATATAATTTTGAGTTCCTACATCTAGATCAGATCCGTAAAGACTAATTTCAAACAAAAAACCTCACGGTAGTCCAATTTTTTAATGTGTTACAGAGCTATCTTTGGATAATTGTCAAATGTACCATGGTTATTGATATACGTAGGTAATAACTTTTTAAAAAATTGTAAAAATTATATATATTATTTATAATTTTTTCTTTCGGTTATGTGTGAAAATACCTCAAGAATGATTCCTCAAAATTTGATTATCTCCATTATTAAAAATTTTACAGCATTTTTATTCAAAAAAAGGTACAAATGTACCCGGTTATTGACCGTAGGGTTAACATGGAGCGAGTCATATGACATTACAGATGAACTGATTCAGTGTTGGCTTTAAAACGAACAGTGTTTGCAAAACATCTTCAAATAAAACAGATGATACAAATTTGTGGATATATATGTACGTTGAAAAAGGTTACAAATGCGAATTTCAAAAGTTAAATTGCTATTGTTTCGAAAATAAACAATTAACCTTTGAAGAATCGTCTACAGATATCTTGTTTTTTCGTATATGTAAAAGTGACCACAGGCATAAATTATAAATGTGAAATAAATTAATTTATGTCATACAATAAAAGTATTATGAACCAGGAAAACCACTGGTATGTGGGGGATGCACAGTGAAAATGAGTTCTGAAGAATAAAAATCAATTTTTTTGTACACTGCAACACAAGGTTGATTATATATTAAATTTGTCGTCTCGTTTGCAATGACTCAAAATATTTACCTTGCTCAGAATAAAATTCAATATCGATTTAGATATGTCTGTGCGTCTGTCCGTTGAAATCACGTTAGAGCTTTGTAGTATGATTGATATTCAACATAGGATATATCGGATAATTTGAAATTTTGGGTTCTCGCTGGATAGAAATTCTACCTATAAAAATTGTCAACGGTACCTCTTTTGATATATAGGACAGTTAAAACACTTTTTATAACTGAATTGGCTCTAATTTGATATTTAGAATTTTCATTGGGTAGAGAATCCCTCCACCAAAAATTTATGATATCAGGCCATGTTCCGGAAAGCCCCAATAGAGCGATACTTTGGGTACGCTTTTCCACCTAATTGACTGTATTTTGATATTTGGGATTCTCATGCGGTGTCGAATCTTCCCACTAAACAAAATATTAATACCGGTCCACGTTTTGGTGTATATAATTATGCTACCCTATTTATAAATATACATAACTAGCATATACCCGCTACATCGTTAGTGAATGGGGCATGTATTTAAAACCCTATACCGACCATATTATTATTACAATTTTAGAACCATTTAGTACATATGTTCTCTTTAGTACGTTTTTCAAATCTATCTCTATATCTCAACCCTACACACCCATTCCGATCGCAACAGAAACCTACCCCTATACTAAATTTGGTGTCACTTCTTACACTTTGTACTCAAATCAAATATAGATTCACCCAAATCCAAATTGAGTATCAAATAGTTGAGTACCATTAAGTACCAAATTTCATGATTTAACCTCTGAAGGTTCACCTAAATCCAAATCTTACCAAATTTAGTTCCATTTAACACACATACCTTAATCATACACCCGCACAGTGATACTAAATCCA